AGTCACCAAAGGGAGGAAGTTCAGGTTGAACAGTGGAGCTGGGAAATGCTGAGTACAGAAATAAAACAGGAAGATAACAAGAAAACACTAACGGAATGAAGCAGACTAATCCGTTAAGCAAACTTGACGAGACACAACATGAAGGCGTTGTTGCCTATAACGTTAATGTTGCAGAAAGCTATCGTAAGCTAACAGATCGTAGTGTTTATCGTAGTTAGCTGGCAAACGTTAGCATTAACTCCGTTGTCCAGTTCCAGACACCAGGATTGTTTTTAATGTTGAAGTTGACTCACATTCAGTAACTTTACTCATGTGTCCTAAAAATGCTAAAAGTGTCCCAAAATACTAGCGTCCTACAAAGGTAGATCATTGGTTTTTAATGTGTTATGTGATGAACTTAATGATATCTACAGTCAGCAGCATCGAGGGGAACATCTCTGGAGTCCATCAGAGACTCTTCAGAAGCTCGCTCAGCCAGTCAACTCTAATTAAATATGAAGTATTTCACTTCGTTAGCTCCGAGTCGGCTGCAGCTGCTGACTGTTACCGTGCCGTGGGCCGTTTCCACACCCACAGCAGCTCACAGGAGATTTTCCCGGGTGTTGTTTGCCTCCTCGGAGCGCCACCGAGCTCCATCGTGTCGCCCGCGGATACACAACCCCGGCACACGGCGGCTCGACTCACAGCAGCTTAATCTTTAACCTTTATTCAGCGAGTGGCGGCCGTCCTCCTCCTCGCTCAGAGCGGGTCCCGCTGCTCGCTTCACATCACATCTGAGATTATTTGTGTTTCCCTTCACTTCCTGTAAATCCTCCTCGCTGTTTCTCACACTGAGACGAGCGAACAGTGACAGACCTCCGCTCCTCACCTCCCTGTGGCGTCGTAACACCTGAGTGACAGGATATAAAATCTGCTGTGCAGCTGATTTCTCCTCTCAGCTCTCCGTCTTTAAAGCCCCATAATGACTACATTTCTGCCAAATCTGCTCCTTCTCCATCATTTAAAACATTAATAAAAACCTACCTGTAACACTAAAGAAACAGGATTATTAGCTCGGTCAGCTGTGCAGCTAAGCTTACTACTACAAACAATATCAATCAATCACTACCAGCTTGTTTTTACAGTAAATGTAAATATGAGAAAGCATATTGCTGCTTTCTGTTCCTTAAGCTTCCACCTAAAGAAACATCCGCACACATCTTTCCTGTTTTTTATTATTTATATGTTTCCTATTGAACCAGATTCCACACAGGACACAGTTTCTGTTTCGGGTTTAAAGCTCCTCCACTCAAAAAGCCAATTTTCTTCTTCTTCATTCACTGTGCAGGGTTTGTTTTCACTTTCATCTTCTGAGGGAGGAAAGTTTCTCACCTTTAACCCCTTTATGACATCACTGCTAGTTTAACAAAGAACTTAAGAAAACAATATCTAACGCTTATTTATTCAATATCCCAAACAGTGTGTTAATGTGTCATTGAACGTGTTTAGAGAAGATCTTTACATTTGTTACTGAACAAAAAGATGACTGATCTGACATTAAAGCTGCTCTAATCAATATTTATTTGATGTAATCAATAGATGAAGTGAGCGTGTATAAAGTGAAAGAGGTCGCTTGTTTGTCAGGAACGAACGGACATTTTTAATTATACAGACTCTAGAAACCATAGATATACATAATAAAGCCTTTATTATGTATATCTATGATGGAAACAACCAAGAAATGGTTCTAATAATAACATCATCTCACGTTTGCTACTGTTGGACAGAGCCAGGCTAGCTGTTTCCCCCTCTTTTCAGTCTTTATGCTAAGCTAAGTTAACCAGCTGCTGACTAAAGCTTTACACACAGACATGAGTGATATCAGTCTGAATTGTGTGTTTGTGTAGAACTGAGCCTTTAAATAATAAAGATATATATTATTATATTATATATATTTATAAATATTTTGAAGGTAAAAAAACATGCAGCTGTGGTTTACAGAACTTTAGTGTAGTAAATACAGAAGATCTTTTTCTACTTTTATGATAAAATGATATTAGTACTGTTTTATTTCTGGTTAAAGTTGAGTTTTATTCCATATTTTACTGAATAAATACAAGTTTTTTCCATCAAAAGAAACAGTTTCGCCTCATGGAAACCCAACATGAATGCTGGTGAGATAGTTTTGTACAATTCACAGTCTGTAATATATAAAAAATCCACTTTATTCCATATAAATTCCATATTAATAAAGGTTTTACCATGAGTAAACCACTGAATTACTATTTTAAACTGTATTTAATTATTTAGAGTTTACGCTCTTTTACATTCATATTTTACAGTGTATATATATTAAATCCAGCTATATTTCTGTTTGTGCCCCCCCAAACAACCTTTTCTTGCTGAGAGCCTCATCAGGCTTCATTCGAACCAATTTTGTACATCTATCAGGCTTTTGATGTTTGATGCTATATCTTGAGATCGCCATGGTAACCAGCACGGCATGGTTTCGGTTCAAAGGCTCGGATGAGAAGGTCCCGAGGACTCTTTAATGATGTCGATCCACAGACAGGAAGAAAGGCTCTCAGAGGGCCACATTTCTCCTTCAGTCAGCAAGTCACAGTCAGCAAAACCCAAAACACCCCCTCGATTTAATTTCAATAAATGAAAATAGAAATAATTAGTTGGGGTTTAACGATCGAACAAAACAAAAAAAGCAATTAGAGCTTAAAAAGTAACAACATTAAGAGCAGTGGAAAAGGCACTTAGAGCTATTAAAGTATCCAAAATAAAATGTCTTGATAGACTCAATAATAACAACAACAGAGCAATAAAAGTGTTAATTAGCTGAAAACTAAAAAGAAGAAAAGCAGTTTTTTAGTTAGTCTGTTTTAACATTTAAATCAAAGCAGTAATTATACAATAAATTATTAAAATATGCCCCCAATATATTTGACTTATAATCATAACTGTAATGCAGTTTCTGCCTGTGGTTTGAAAATAACTGACAATTATATTTATTCGTACAACCAACACCAGACCCACACCGTACAGCCAAGATACAGCCAGCAGGACAACCCCAGCTTAGCTTAGCTACAGCTAGCTAGCTGGATGCGACTACCTCGCATCACTCTTGGCTAGTAGAAAGCTATCGTTAGCTTTGTACTGTTACATCATTTATTGTTGGCTAAAATCAACACAGTTTGTCAAAATACATAAGTTAGTATAATGGATCACATTAGCTAGATAAAAGCACAATATAACAATATGTTCCACAAACTTTACAGTAATGTTAGCTTTGACTTTGGACTCTGTGTTGTGGACTCTGTGTTGGACTCTGTGTTGGACTCTGTGTTGTGGACACAGCTAGTCCAGTCCGGTTCTGCATTAAAATGGCGTCTGTGTCTTCACATTACAGCACATGTCATCACTTCGTGGGACATTACATCAACAGAAACAAAAGATTCCTGTGAGTCACTGCTGGGCTGCGTAACAAGGCAGAATTACAAATAAAGCAAATGATAATCAAACACGACTCCCTGCGGTGAACCGGAGCGAACACACACACTGTGTTCATGTTCACAGCTCCTGTCTCATCTTGTTTCAGCTCTTTTCCATCACCATGATTGTCTCTGCACACGCTGTCCTCATCCATCCTTGTTGTAAGATCACAGGAATATACAGCAGGAGGTTCAGTCTTACATAACGGCAGCAGTGTAAACCTCTGCACCGACTGCACAACCTTCTACATCTTTAGTATCACTAAATATCACCCAAACCAACAATGGCTGCATGTTAATGTTCACACATCAACCTTTTACCATCCACTGCAGGACGCTAACACTGCACATAAAACATTCACAGAGCGATAAAGTGGCCTGAATATAAATGAGTACTGATTGATTTTTGTTCATTATCCTTTCCTATTTTTCTCTGCAGTCTTTCAGAGGTTGTAGTATATATACTGTATATATATATATATATATATATATAAAGATACCGGTATTGTATGAAACTAGATCGTGTCATGCTAGCATGTCGAGAAGGAGGCTAAATAACGCCCCAAAGTTAAAAAAATGTGGGCAATGGACAAACTGGCATGTCCATTTTCAAAGGGATCCTCTGACCTCTGACCTCAAGATATCTGAATGAAAATGGTTTTTATGGGAACAAACGAGTCTCCCCTTTACAGACATGTCCTCTGTGACTACATTTTTGTTGATGGCCATGTTTTTTGAATGATTTTGCTCCTTTATATTAGAAATGTGCATCCGTATAAAACGCTACAGGATTTGGTGTTGAGCCAAAATAACAAAAGCAGATGTCAGTTTACAGTTTTTTAGTTTATGCTAATTAGCAAAAACATTTTCACTGTAAACTTTTACTTTTACTTTTAAGGCTTTTTAAGGTTTTTTTGCACCTTCAGAACCTTTCTGAAATATGTAATTATTGTTAGTAAAAGTAAAATCTGTCAGTGTTATAAATGTTTAAATTTAAAATTATTCTGATTATTCTTTAAAACCAGTAAGATAAAGAGAGAAAGCAGCAGGAGGTCGAGCTGGACCAGTTTTTCTTCCATATTCCTGAAAAGTTAATAAAGTTTCCCCCACTGACATCATCAATATATAAATTTTATTTTTAATATTTCTGTCTGTACACATAAAGGCTGCAGATATTTGACTTTCTCTTGTTATCTTTATGTGATATATTTAAATGAGTGTGAATGTCCCAGCTGTAATTAACAGTTTCCACTCGTATTGGACATGTTTAAACTGCCACCAGTTTATCTAACAGATCGCTCTTTACATTCTGTTTTACTGCTCCACTGTTTGAACAACTTATTTCATATTCTGTCATATTACACTTCCTCCTCCCCCCCTGCGCTGAATCTTTAAACTCCTCCTTGTGCAGTGTCCTCGTTTCTCCTGCAGAGATCAATAACGTTTCATCTTATCTATTCATCTGGTGACATTATGGATGATCAGCGCGGCCCGGTGAAAGTGAGATCTCTTCCTGCAGATTGGAGTGGAGAGCTGGACTTCTCCACCCTGCTGAGCATCATGCACCGGCAGCTCCAGCAGGAGGCGCCGGAGGAGGAGATCCTGGAGGCCATGAAGATGGCTGACAAGGAGCAGAAAGGCTTCATCCTCGCTGCCGAGCTGAGAGCCAAACTCACCGGGCTGGGGGAGAAACTGACTGACAGGGAGGGTGAGAGCGCTAAACAACCGATATTTTATCTTTAATATCTGGCATTTCATTTATTATGACACCATATTTTGAATCCTCCGGGTTCCTGTCAGGTTTTAATCCCTTAGTGTTTTATTTTGCTGTTACCAAACACATTATCTTGGCTCTATTATTCTTCAGTTTAATCCTGTTAAGTGAAACCTTCTGTTGGACATCCACAGAATTTAAGTCTGGTGGGGATTTTCATTACTGCAGATAATGTGGAAAAGTGGAGGTAGAAAAGAAATGAAGATAACAGTCACATTTAATGAGATTATGTTTTCGTTGCAGTCAAACGGGAGTCAGACAGCTGCAGAATAAACCTCTTCTTTCAAAAAAAAGTGAGAATGTGTCAATGGGTGAAAATATCCTGTTTTCAGTTCAGTTATAAAGCAACGTATTCACATGAAAAACAAAATGTCTGCCCTGTTATTTCTGAATGAACGACTTACATACACATAGTGGATGATGATGAGGACACTGTTCAATGACATTCAAATGTAGAAAATCATTGATTGACGGCCGTGTTGCTCTGTTTCTAGTGGACGAGCTGCTGAAGGAGGCGGGTGTTGGACCTGATGGGCGGGTCTACTGCGAGCAGTTCGCTAAAGCGGTGACGCGCTCGTCTGCAAATCGCTGACGTCACAAAATCATGGCGGCTTCTGAAGACTTTATAACACAAACTTTATGTTTTGTTTGTTAAATAACGTTTCAATCGCACTATTTCTTCCTCACCGGGATTCCTTCCTCTTCCTCTGATTGGCTAGTGTTTGTTGCCTTCGTTAGGTTAGCGTTAGCCAATCAGAGGCAGAGTTGGGGAATTTCCAACAGAGTTCTGCAACCACCTTTTTTAAGAAATGTAAAAGCTTCAAAATCTACAGGTGAGGTATTAAATGATTGATTTATGTCATAGAATAAAACATGAACGTGAAGGGTTTTTAGGACTCGTTCCTGACTAAATAAAGTAATAAAGAAACATTTTGTCTGAATAAACAAACAATGCAATCTTTCTCTATATACGTTTGTGTGGAACCTCCTAGCTTTAGTGTTATACCATGCTAACAGTTATGCTACCAATGTATCTTGTGGGGTTCTGGTTTAAAAACAAGCTGAAAACATGAAAATAAGTCAACTGGAGAGAAACTTTTAAACTCACAGAGCTCAACAATAAGTGAGCTGCAAATGTTAGCATGTCTGTTTACTTAGCTCACCACCTACATTAGTAACCTAGCTTTAATTCCAAGGCTGAGTTAAAGTTCACTTTACATTATTTGGTAACAGGCTATTTGGTAAAAAAATCCCAACTGAGGACACATCTACTGTTTGCGAGCTAGTTCTGGTTTGGGGTTTAAGCTAATGTTAGCAGTTAGCGTTATGTTACCAAACACACCAATTAGTCCTCAATCTCTTTAACATATTGTGTTATAAACCAGCTACTGCAATCAGTACCGAAGGCTGTTATTTAACACCACCTTAACATAACCTGGGGGTCCCATCCCCCAGTAGGGGTCACCAAAGATTCAAAGGGGGTCGCAAGGCCTCCTTGATTTTAAGGGGTGTAGAAAAATTTAAAAACAATATCTCAGCATTTAATTCATTTCTGTAAAGAAATTTTTTTTAGTTTTTTTGTTGATAGCCTATTATTATTTAAGATCTAAACTTTGAACACAAACTATATTCAGAGCTTCAGTCTCTGATAAACTCGTCCTGCATCAGAAATAAGAGGAAGAAAACAGTGAATAATCCTAATTATTGCTGATGTGTGAGAGCAGAAAGCGACGGGGGGTCGGGGATTAGCAAAAGGTCGGTTCAGTGTAGTTTCTTATCATTTACCAATATATTATATATATAATATAATATAATATAATATTGTTGCATGTTTAATTCGGTACAGGAGACATTTTCATTAGAGATCATTGTTTCATCATCCTCAGGCCTGTTGCAATAATCCCTGAGAAGTTTCAGTTCTTCCTGCATGATGACATATTTGCTCTGCAAGCAGAAGCGTTTTATGAAGGGAAGATTATTCCCCTGTAAACCTTCCTGTCATTTCCTGTTAGTAGAGCTTCACGCGTGGAAAACCCATCAGCCAGTTCAGACTTTGCTGTAGTGAGAATACAAAACGCTGGAAGCTTCCTGTTGTAATTTGCAGTGACACATCTTCTGGTTTCATGTAAACCCCGGAGGACAGCGTGGATTATATTGCTCTGTCAGGTCTGAACCTGTTTGCGAGGGACGCTGTGAAGCTTCTTCGTTGTAATTCGCAGTGAATCACAGACTGTTGGAGGCCGGCTGAATGACTCTCAGCACTAACACCTCGGGGCTTCACCAGCCTGTTGCCTTTGACCTTGTTAACGCAGATTATCGGACACTTCACCCGTGAACGGAGACTTTACGCCGCATTTGTCTTCAGTGGGTCTGAATAAAGTGAACTCACTGGAGGGAACTCTTTATGTGCTTACTGAGCCTTTCTGTCTTTCAATACAACAGATATCTGAGTAAGGTTGGGGTTAATCCAATCTGCTCGCTGAAGAGCAAAGTCGGTATTTTGCTGCCAGGAACTGGATCCAAAATTAAACTACAGGAACGCAAACTTTCAAAGACACTGAACAAAATTTATTAGAGTTTGAATTTATATAGTTATGACCATCGTTTATGCTAACGTTTTACTGAAGTATGAGTCTGAGGTTTCCACTCAAACACAATCTGTGTAACTCAAACTGTGTTTAGAAAAGAACTAAACTAAAAACAAGAACTGGACGTTTCTTTGCTCCAAATTAAATGGGATTAACATAAAGTGTCTGCAAAGGGGAGACTGGTGGGTTCCCATAGATTGTCATTCAGATATCTTGAGGTTGGAGGTCAGTGGATCCCTTTGAAAATAACCATGACAGATTTCCCATCGCTACAATTTAGCCAAACTTTGGAGCATTATTTAGCCTCCTTCCCGACGTGGTTGGTACTGATGGATGCGTTCGGTCCTCTAGTTTCGTATGATACCAGGATCTTCACTCTAGCTTTAAAGCGGAGCCCGCTGCAGCCTCAGAAACACAGTGTGGAGTGGAAGGAGTAAAGATAAGGGGGTGGCAAATCAGATTTCAGGGGTGGGTCTTTATTGATCCGCCAAAGTTTCATCCTGATGGAATAAAAGGATTTATTCCTGGGTGGTGCCTGTTCTTAAATCTCTACTGCCATCTAATCAAAGGAAACCATCCCAGCCCCTGTATGGTGCTGTACTGGTCAGACTGGTTTATGTGAACATGAGTTACTGGATGAACAGTTCAAGCTTTTTCAGTCTGAGATCAATGATTTATATTAAAGTCTTATTAAAAGCCGCAATGTGAATGTGAAGCGCGTCAGGAGTCTCTGGTTAGGAGCTGATGTGTCGCCCACAATGTAACCACCAGACAGCACACAGGAAGTCCTTCCTCTCGCTCTCGGCGCTGCGGAGGTTAGACCTGACTCTGGCTGTGTTTCTGAGCCTGACCTGCAGCACCGGCGGTGTACAAACAGCAGGGAGCGTCTGTTTGTCATCAAACGATTACTTCTACTACTTTCTGTAGATAATTAATTAATTATTCCACTTTTAAACTCCAAAGAAACTGATATTCTGAGATAACATCCTAATTACCGTCCTTTAAATTATCAAACGTAATTTACTTCACAATGAAAACTGATGTCTTGTATCAGGAGATAACAGTTGAGTATCTTTAATCATGAGCTCGTTACTCTGAGAGGCGTCCAGGAGGAACCAGAGAGGACTTAACGAGGTAATTTCACCCACACACAATTCTCCTGTTATGACAACTGTTTGTTATCTCTACATAATGAGATGAATAATGCTGATTTAATTGTGATCACGTGGTAACAGTCGAGGTAATGAGATCAGTCTTTTCAATCGCTATCTTTAAAGCTGAAACTCAAAATAAGGTTTGTTATCACAATGAAATCAGATCATTATGGAAGCTAATTCCAGCCAATGTGACCACAAAGGTCTCAAAATATTGAGAAACTTTCTCATTATAATGATTTACAGGATCCTTATGGCTTCCATAGATAACGAAGATAATGAGAAAGTGATGAAAACGTGCTTCGTTATAATTAATATTGTGAGTTAGAGGAATAAATATATAAAAAAACATAAAAACCAGAAACAGAAAACTGTTTATCTCAAATAAAACTTATTATATGATTATATTCAACTGTAAAGAATTAAATGAACAACGCTGCTTTTTATGTATAAATGTTTGATTAATGTCTCAGTTACTAAAATTAATATGAATAAAATCCCCCAAAACACGACATTTGCTCATTTAGATGAACTTTTATAATGAAAAAGTGCTTCGTTATCAACCACCAAGGTTGAGCCAATATAATCAATATAATCAATGATGTCAGTTTCTAAATTTTGACTATTCGACCTCCGCCCTGAGTGGATATAAAGCAGTACGCTGTAAAACCTGTCCACACTCACTCATTCACATTAAGATGTGATTATATTTATTTGATCTTTTAACCAGCACAGATTAGCTTAGCATGTAGCATATCTGAGTACAGGAGAAGTTTTCTGCTCGTAGGATATAAATTTGTGGGTTTTTGGTTGTTGTTGGTTAAATGTTAGTGTGGGTGATTTATTGTGACCTTTGCTCTGCAGCCTCGAGGTGAACTGAACATTTCCAACAGGTCAGATTCTAAAAATAACAACAACCTCCATTATGCTGTTTGTCCTGTGTCGACCGTTACAGCCTCAGGGGGGCGCTACAGGGGCTTCTGAGACCTCCACTTTACACTCTTTACATTTGAACATGTGATTTGGGAATGTTAGTAATGACAGTGAATGTAAACACGAAGAGAGTAAATGGGCTGTGTCTGTTCTGTGTGTTAAATCTGACCTCATTAAACACTGTGCTCATCTACCGCCGCCGTAATGGGCGGCTGTACTTTCACACAGACCACTAGTTCCCTTGTTTCTGGGCTGTTTCCAGCTTTATGTGATGAAAGATTCATGGAGCCGCCTCTGCAGGCTCGTAAGGGAGGAGCAAAGTCCACCTTCGCTGTTTATAGGCCGGACTGTCTTTACATAACGTGCCTCTCTGTGTCCTGTCCTGGTTTTATTCATGTGGTCCCAGTTTGTTCTCTTTATGTGAGGAGCTCTCTTCATAAACAGTCTGGCTTTCTGAGCGCTCATACAAACACTTTCACCTGATTCAAGTTCAATTACAGCAGCAGACGTAAATCAGAAGTTTCAGCCGGGAGTCAAACAGTCTCGAGTTATTTTATCTCCGTTTACATGAACAGATCCACTGTTACTGCCTGTATTTATGACATTAGGCTCCATTTCATGGGAAACTTGAGCTCATTTATACAAATGTTTTAATATTATTAGTTTTACACATTACACCCCAAAAGGAGCCATAATGTAAATAATGTGGAGCTGCTCAAAGGTGGGGTCCGCCATAAGTTACAAGTCTTGTGGAAAAACTTAAAGTTCCCTCCAGTCAGAAATCAGTGTTTGTTCTACAGTGAATGATGTTTAAATGTCTGAATGAGGTTTAAATGTCTGAATGAGGTTTAAATGTCTGACACCAGAAGGATGTTTTCAGATTCATCCGCTGAAAGTGGAAAGTTTCTCTCATTGAA